AAGCGGCTGCAGTAGATGGGATGAGTGAGGCGGCATGCAGAGCGTATAGATATTGTTCTCCTTGCAGAGCTCTTGAAACTCAAGAGAGTGGTGGCTCTCATGGCCGTCAAGGACGAGCAGGCGACGCGCACCAACAACGCGAGTCTTTGTGTGAGCGTTGAAGTGCTTCAGCCACTCTACTCCTAGCTTGTTGTTTGTCCAGCCATTGTCGCTAACTGCGATTACCCAGTCGCGTGGGATCTCTGCTTCCTCGTACCAGGCAGATAGATGATACTGGCCAGCGAAGATGAGGAACGGTGGGACTGACCAGCCAGCAGCGTTGATTGCAGCAATCGCCGTCACCCACTCGCGATTACCTGGCTGAATAGCCTTAGGCCTGCCTCTTCTTTCTGACCCTGTTACAACAAGTTAAGTTGTAATTTTGCCCATTATAAAGCCAGCCTCGTCAAAGTTGTACACGTCATCATCGCAGATGCTGTACTTGGCCTTTGTCTCCTCTACAAGCTCAAACCAGCTCCTGATTAGAGCTGGATCCTCGCATAGAGCTCTCTGCCTATCGTATGCTCGATTGAAACGCGTCCTAAGACTGTCCATACGCTTGACAAAGTTGCTTGGCCAGTCTCTGCCTACAGGAGAGCTACCACGCGCTAAGAGTAGCTTATCAGCCATATCACGTACAGCTGCGTACGTAGGCGAAAACCCACGTGTATCTAGATCCAGTATATGCTTTACTATTACCTCCTCCTCTTGCTTGGTAAGCTTCTTTGAGTTGGGCTGGCAATTGCGTCTAGCAGGTTTGCCAGCGCGTTGGTGGTGGAGGGTAGCGTGAGAGACTTTAAACGTTACTGCAGCGCGCCTTTTAGTCTGAATTTGATTTGCATTAAGAGCTAAGATTGCAAGGTGTATATTAGTCTCACAAGAAGCGTGTTGGGCTATGTTTGGTGGAGCCATAGTCGATTTATAGTTGTAGGGTATAGAAATTTGGTGGGGTGGCTCACTCGCTTCGATGGCTCACTCGCTTAGTATTTACGTTACAAGCACAGTGTACGCAGGCTCTATGTTAAATAGCAATGAAATTGAAGAGTTGTAACGTGAGTTGGTACTGCCAAGCTTTTTTGGCCCGGGTGCTGGGTTGGCCCGGGTGCTGGGGGTTTACGTTATAAAATATTGACTTTTCTAATTTTCTCTAGTTAAATCCGCGCATCGCGGGAATCCGCGCATCGCGCGCACAGACACGGTAGGCTGTTATTGCCAGCCTTGGCTATCGGCACCAAAGACAGCGCGGGCAGTCTGTCTCGGCGACAGTCGCAATGGACTGCGAAGATCTTGGTCTATATGCGCTATCTCGGGAGTGCGTCGGGCCTACTCGTTCTAGGCCTCGTGTTTCAATGTATTCTGCAGCATAATCTTGCTTCGACACTGGATCGGTAAGAGACCGGAGTACTCGCCAAGTACGCTACGATACTTGTGTAATCTATTCAAGCAATGCCACGCTCGGACTGCGAAACGGTTTGTTGCGGTGCAAGTCGGTCTTATCACCTTCATCGTCAATTATTGACTACCCTGAACTAGCACGTCTCAGGGCATGTGTAAATGTTCGCCTCCTAGCTAGCAAGCGACTCAACGCAGTTTCCATCGGCTATACAGCGACTACGTCTGCCGCAACACGGTTCTAATCTAGGCCACTCAGAGCGCACTTCGCACCATCTGCACAGCCTTGTCTGTTACCTGCAATACTATATTCCTTCTCTGTTGTGCCAGGGTGCTGCTTTTAGCGAGTCGAGAACGTGCTGAAAGGTTGAGTTCTCTAGTAATACGTTCGAGCGGTGCGCCAGATCTCCCAGTGCCGGCTCGCACAGGCGGGGGTGATCATACCTGGAACAATTGTGCTGTCGCACGGGATTCTGAAAAAGGAACATACAAGAAGGGATTGGAAATGTGTTCGATGTTGTGCGTTTTGTAGGCCGCTAGGTGAAATTAAAGTTATTTTGAGCGTTCTTGTTGCGTGCAGTGCTCAAGTTGCGTTGCAATTACACTATGATCAGCTACTTTAACATAACGTGGGTTAATGAGAGTTGTTAAATAAAAGGCTTGATAAGAAATTGGTCAAGAGTTCAACTGATAATGTTGACGTCCGTTGTTTCAATATAATGGCTGCTCAATGAAGTCTGATCTGGCCAGTTCCGGAGGAACATTAATCCAGTGAAGCGTCTCGACACAACTTTCTTGTAGTGCTTTCGACAATGTCTTCATTGGATTTGCTCTGTAGGCTCAAACTATAGGACGTGGAGCATAAGCTAAAAGACTGATACATGGCCAACTGTAGGGAGGCAAGATAAATGATATTGTATGAGGGTTGGCATTACTGGTTGTTAGTCAGTGGGTGAGGTATCCCACCACCTAGTGCTTGGTCGACAAAATACAGTAACGCAGGCTGAAAGGGTTACGCATGCAAGACACAGGATTTGTGATGCGACAAAGAGGCAATGAAAACTTACCGCGATGACAAAGACTGTCACAGCAGAGTTTCTGGAAAAGAGAATCTGCGTTGGAGAGTCCAGAGTCCGGGCATGGCAAAGTTCAGGTCGCGTCTTTCACGGGAGCGTAGAGCACTCTAACTGTAGCAAAGCTCTTGGTGCCGCTCTCTAAGTCCCCATGGGGCGATCAGTCTCGTCCATATTATGGGGATGACTCAGAGCTGCTACTTTGCTCGTTTCCTAGCCCATATGTACAACATGATGATCTCTCCACTCAGCGCACCTAGCGACGATCACCCTGCGCTGTACTTTTGAATATAATAAGATACTGCACTGATATTGGAGTGAAATACGGCTCGATATAAGCACTGCCCAACAACGGTCCAACCCAAAGCCTGAGCATACATCCGCTCACCATTTGAGACCCTGGATGTATAATACCGGTATCCGCTGCGTTCAAGAAACCCAAGCCGGCCTCGACACGAGTAAGACTACAATAAGAGGGTGATTTGGGTCTTCACAACGCCATAACCCGTGACAGGTCACAATTTAGGGTTATCCAAGCCCTCACGACTGAAACAAAGATTCTGCGATTGTGCAGAGTGGAGGTGTTGCGCACGAACAGCCCTCAGCTCCTGCACCAACACTCAACAGCCGCGGCTGCAAGATACCTCAGCCACGCATGTTCTGGTAGCAGATTTTGTCGTATAGATTTATAGATCAATCTTCCAATAGATTCAGTCAACATAGCTTTTGTGTGTGGCTGTAGATCCCATTTTTATATAGGTGGTGTAGGTGCCGATGGTGCGCGTTGCGGCGTACGCGCATTGCGAGTCGTCCTGCGGCTGGCCAACGCGAACGACGGTGGTCTGGGCTCCAGTGAGCGCTGTGAGTACCCCCGAGCCTCTCATTCTCTTTGTTTATCTTTACCGTGAGCGGTACAGATACGACAACTGCTCGGCCCGAACAGGAGCAGGCAAGCTGCGCAAAAGGCCCGGCAAGTGCTGTAATAAGACAGGACACAATTTGCGCACGTATAGAAAATACACGGTAGACACTGACAACTGATAGCATATCCTGTAGATCATAGTAAGGTCTAGTGGTGTTAAAGTATTGCGTGTGGAAGGCCTGATGGTTTGCTGGGATGCGCCAATCGCCTATATGCGTCCCTTACTTATAACCTACATTAAATCTTTTTGCTGCTGCCCGCCCATGCTTTTGCCTGCATAACCCTTTGGAATTAACAGTAGCCAGATGAGTTAGTTCTAGTCGATTTTGCCTTGCGTCAATTTCCCGTATAGACTCAAAGAGTTGCCTTTAGGTGCATCCCGAGGTCTGCATGCATATATCTAGTCTATAATTGGCTAGATCTTTCACACTGTAACTATAGTCCTTCGTATGTTCAGGCAGTTAGGAGGCGGTGTAATACCTAAGACTTCGTATTGCAAAACGACTTTATAAACTAGACTAGAAGAAGACGCGTCAGTAAGCAACTAGGTTTGTGCGTTAGGACCGACCGCTTATGCTACCATCTCTCTAGCGTCTAGAGAGCGTCTTATAAACAGAGGTATGATTCCCTTCTTTATTATTCACTACAACAGAAACATTCTTTACCAACATATACCTACAGAGTCTCACACTTCTCGCTCGACAGGATGCTCTTCTCAAAGCTTGCTGTACCTTTTCTCAGCGCCGTCGCCGTAGTCCCGTACTCCATGGCTGCCACTGTCTCCTACCAGGAAGTCATAAACGAAGGAGCAAAAAAATCTGGCAAAACCCCTGCCCAGTTGGACAGCCAGATTACTACCAATGGCAACAAACCGAAGCTCGTCGCCGCACTTCAGCCTAAACTAGGATGGGGAAAAGGAGTAGTCTGCGACCTGAAATGCCCAGGATGTGCAGACTGTGCAACTGGAGCTGGCCAAGCTGCCATCGCGATACTGGCGGCGTTCGCGACGGCAGCGGTTGCGTGTGCCACAATCGTGGGATGCCCAGAAGCTATTGCCGCAGCTTCTGTCGCCGCTGCCGCGGCTGGAACTTCGTTCTGCAATTCCCAACATCAACCCATCAACTGCGATTTCAATTGCAACTGGCATCATGAAATCTGCGCCGGCCCTGCCACAAATGGCGGCGCTGTTCCAACTCCACGCGTATAAGCTTAAATTTATGTACACCTTACAAGAGACAAGTTCATCATAATATCTACTTATGTACAGACGGTTGCTGGAGTCATTCCCTTGTTGAAATTAGTACAATCTTCGGCCCAAAGTAGACAAGTGCTGTCAATCATCTGCCAAATTGCTGGGCATAGTAAACGTCACACTAATGCTTTTAGGGTAACTTAAGCTTCTTCTAGTTAGCATCGTACTAGGTATGGGTAATTTAGAGAGGGCATTGTGCTGAATATCTTGTGAGAGTCTATACGTCGCCACGATTGGACATCCCATATACTATGTCACATGCACGCGGACCAATCATGGTCATTAAACAAACACTGCCTCTTCCACTTTCTTCAAACAACATTGATTAATCCCATCGAGGCGTCTCATGCACTACTTGTACTCTCTACCTATTCTTCTGCTGGCGTTAATGTGACATGTCTACTCAAGACTCAAGAACCCATCCACAGTTCAGATTCTCTCCTGCTTAGTCGATCTCTCCATGAAAGCCTTTCCCATGTCACAGACAATATGTGCACATAATAGGCCTCCCTTGATTCTGTCCTTCAAGTAAGCCTTCTTCGTTGTCGGGATACTTCCGATACGCAGCCCAATTAATAGCTTACTGAGACTGTAGGTCCTCAATGTACGAACGCAACCAACAGCAATTATCAGGGAATTGAAGTATTTGATATCCTTTACGCAGGCCTCAATAATCGACCGCAACACTGTGAAACAGAATGAGCTGTCATTCAGCTGCACGCCAGTGTTGTATGCCCCAACGAGGTTCTTGAAGCGATCGTTGTCAGTTTTGTCTGCGACCAAGACGCGCAATTAATACCAGCGGTGCCATTCCAGATCAATTTCAAACCCACACTGGCCCAACACGAACAGTAATAGATTTACAGATTTGCTAGGAGTTCAAGCTTATTGAAAAATAAGGGTATTACTGATTTGCACACCATTGCAAAACTATTTAAGATTATGTAACGGTTGGGAGCGGAAGCGGATCACGTGTTCTTGGCGGTGGTCTGGTGCTACTTCCTCATGTTGTTGAGCACCTCTTACCTCAGCTGCATCACAAAGACGTCATCAAAACAAACCCCGCAGCGAGCCTTGGAGAGCAAAGATGCAAGCAACACGACAACAACAGAAAACAATAACGTAGATTATCACTGAGCCGGCCATATCACTAAACTAGCCATTTTCTCTTAGCACAACTAACACAAGTTACTGCAACTACAACTACTTGCTATTAAACAGTGACCTAGCATACTGTGTGCTTGTATTAGATTTAGAAGATATTTCTACACCCTCCTAGCACGTTTGTGCGTTGTGTCTAGTTTTGCTGTAGTTCCTACAGCGCTGAACAGTTAACTAAGCTCCTAGTTAACCACCTCTACCCTAAGTCTTCTTAGATAGCTGAGCTGCTACATACGCCTTAGCAGCTACCCGCGATGCTGCTGGGCCATACTCAAGTGTGCCACTATGCTGAATCTGCTTTCTCTTACGCGATTTTCTCTTAGTTATTACTACTAATTGCTCTTTAAGCTCTTGCATGTGGGCCTTAATAAGGACGTTTTTGTGTAGCATCTCTTCAGCCCCTTTTATAAGCTTTAAGAACCCCTCTTACGCTACACTTAGTAATTGTTAGAAGGAGTTGCTTATAAGCTTAGATTAAGACCTAAACTTGTGTATATTGCTTAGCGTCTTAGATTGCCACAGCGTTTTAGGTAGAGGTACTGCTAGTAGGGTATGCAGCTGCACTTTAAGGCAATCTAACACTACCTGTATATTAGTAGGAATAAGCCCTAATACCTTAAAGGCCTTTTAGTAGTTAACCTTTATAAATATATTAAGGAATACGTCCCTAAAGGCTAGTAGAAAGCCTTCCTTATTAATATAGAAGACATGTTAGCATGCTAAGTCTTAAATATATTAGGAGTACTTGCGCTTTAATAGTAAGAAATAGACTATGTTAAGTAGCTAGAGGATGTGCAATAAGTAAGGTGGTATATAGAGAGTAAGGATTTAGTTCTCTAGGCAATAGTCCTTAAACTCCTAGTTAAGATAGCTCTTATTGTAGTAGTCTGGCCAAAGGCCAATAAAGGATATCTACTTCCTAACAACTTTTGCTAAAAAGCATGCACAAGTTAACTAGACGCCTAGTTAACTGCGTAGATAATATATATCTAGCTTAAGCCAAGCCGGCTAAGCTAATGTAACCGGCTAGCTCTAGCTCTTCTTTAGCTTTAGAGTCTAGACCGTTACAACATCTAACAGTTATAAGCCTAGTATCCCCACACTACGCTGCGATACTTAAATAAGATTATTCACCCTTTTTTTAATTAATTGCTATACACGCTGTACACAAAGTACATGTTGTCCCTACAATCCTCCTATTGTTGCATGCCTGCTGTTGTTGCAACCTTTTAAGATTATATCTTGTCTACTAAGGCCATCTCTACGCCTCTAGTACTTTTAATTATTATACATGTTGTACACATTGTTACTATAATCCTCCTGTTGCTACGCACCTGCTGTTGTTACATTTACGCAACACTATAAGAACTAGTTCTTACACTTTAAGGTTTTACCTTATTTTCTCTGCTAATTAGCAAGGCAGCTCTTTTGCTACTATAGCTACTACAATCCTACAAGGTTCTATAGACTAGATACCTTAGTATGCTGCTAAACAACAATATGCTATAATTAAGGGCGTATAGTAGTACTGCAATCCTAATTTAGCTACTCTATCTCTACCACCTGTTATAGAGCTATCTAATAAGGCCTTAGCAGACAAGTAGAAGATCTAGGAGATTAAGTCTAAACGCTAGGAGTTAATCTAAAAAGCAATTAGTAAGGTTAATCTTAAGATCCTACGCACTGTCACTACGTCACATGTCCACCTTATTAATAGGGCAGAGCACAACAATCCTTAGAGTCAGCTTACAATGCTCTAAAAGCATTTCAAGGTCACAGACCAGCAGCGCAGGCTAGAGCTTGCTGCCAAGTACAGCGATATTCAGAAGAAGCCAAAGAACCAGAGCACCCAGGCCTGGCTGGACGAATACTCGCAGATCACATCTCAATGTGCTCAGGAGAGCATGCCAGAGATGACAGAGACCTAAGCACAGTGGCGATTCATCTATGCTGTACGGGACTTAGGAGATGAGGCATGGGCTTAAGCCTAGTTCCTTGCTATAGAGCAAGGCAAATTAAATGCCCTTCTGCTAACTCCTACCCTGCAGGATTTAATTAGCTAGTATTAATAAACAGTACCTACAGCCTAAAACACAACTTAGCTACTAGGAAGCTTTACATCTCTATCTATTATAGAGCCTAAGCTAAACAATTACCTAAAGAAGGACTAATTAACAGGTTAATTAACGTGCGTCTGTAGGCTCCACCTATTAGTACTCTAGTGCTTTACTCTTAATCCTAAGGCTAAAGGCAGGTTTAAGGACTTTAAGCCTAGTATAAAGGCCTTATCTAAGCTTGTTGTATCCTTTTAAAACAAGGATACGCTTAAGAAGGTCAAGAAGGCCTATAAGGACGCCAGCATACGATGGACGTTCAACCTAGAGAAAGCTAAGGCTGAGATAGCTAAACGAAAAAACTCCGCATCACGTCATGCTCATCAGGCCGATACTGCTTCAGACTGTAGCTCCGATGGATACGCGTCCAATACAGCCTGTCTCAAGCAGCCCTTGCAGCTGCTGCAGTCCAATACTGCACTATCGCTGCACGCTCAATCACTGCAGCACCAATGGGTCATGGACCCTAGATCAGACATTCATATCTACAACAAGGCAGGATCTAATTAGAAGCAGACAAAGCTTCCTTCCTCTTAAGACACTATACAAGCAGGCTGTAACTTGTATTAGATACAAGCCTAGGGAGAGGTAACTCTTAATATAAAAAGGGGTAATTAGACAGCCTTAATCACACTTAAGAAAGTAGTATATATCCTAGGATATATAGCTAATATCTTCAGCCTAAGCTACTATAAGAAGATCTACTTTAATTTAATAATAAACATGCTCTTTAGGGAGGATAAGTTACTATCTCTCTTTATAGACCTTAATTAAATTAGAGGTTACTAGTTCTTAAAAGCTTAAGACGCTAAACAGCCTTTTCAGGCTATAGCAGCTACTTCTACTTAAGCAAAATTACCTTAAGTTGTTACTGCAATAAAAGCTCATTAGCTACTTAGCTATCCAAGCCATTAGGCTATTAAGCATCTTAAAAACTCTATAACTAGCCTCACATTAGGCACTAATAGAAAAGGAGAACAATAGACAGATTCTTGCATCCCTTGTATTAAGGGCAAGATAAAGGAAGATATTAGTTAACGTCCTTAAGCTAATAAGGCTTACTACCCTTTCTACTACATTATTGTGGACATTATTTAGCTTTAAAAGCATAGCGAGGCCTGCTACAACAGTGATGTATAGGCACTATATGCAGTATGTAAGTACACAAAACTATATAAGATCTATACTCTTAAGGATTAACATAAGGCTACTATTGTTCCTGTAATTACACGTCTTATTAACAAGATTAAGCGTGTATATAGCTACTAAGTAGCTATAGTCTTCATGGATAGAGACGTAGGATATGGACGAGCTAAGGCTAGTTTGGGCTCTTCTGCTCAAGAGATCCTCTCATCAGCTAGCATTAAGGTCAAGACAAGGTCTCCTAATACTCCTGCACAGCTGGGGGGTGCTGAGCAAGCTAGTGCTATTATTGTTACTGTTGCTAGGGTTCTTCGTATCTATGCTAGTCTACCAAAGATGTTAGCTAATAAGCTAGTCTGCACAGCAGCAAGGCTGCTTAACATTACGCCTACAAGATCTATTAACTAGCGCACACTACATAAGATGGTCACTAGCGTCTGCCTAGACCTCTCTTAACTCTACGCTATTAGAAGCTGTGGATTTATGCTTAACAAGCACCTAGCTAGAGGAGATAAGCTTAAAGATCGCACTTTTAAGGGATTCCTCCTTGGCTATAACGCCTTGAACATCTATTAAGTATGGCTGCTAGCCACAAATCGCGTTATCTGCGTACGCGACGTACGCTTTGTAGACAAGCTTTACAAGGATAAGCTGTCTGCTCTACCTGCAAGGTCTTATATTATTAAGACTGCACACATTCCTAAGGAGGAATACAATAGTAAGACTATTGTTGTTGCTTAGCTAGTGCAGCAGCAATAGGCTGCAGTTGCTCTAACTCCTGCACAGAAGCAAGTACAGTAACTACCTTCTCCTACTACTACTGCTTGTAGTACACCTGATTCTCACGACTGTCCTGATCTAGCTAAGCAACAGCTATTTTAGGAGTCCTCTGCTGCTACACAGCACATAACACCTAGGGGGTAGAACTCTAATAAGAACCCTGATAAGGACTTAGATACAATTAGAGCTGCTACACCTAACCTAGTCACGCATGCGCTATACATCCTAGATTAATATTAGAACAATGCTCCTTAACAACAAGATCTAGATCTCTTACAGGACAACATTATTACTAGTAGAAGATGCTACTAGGCGCACTTTATTAAGGCTAGTCCTTTAACTAAGTACTATGCCTTTACTGCTATTATTTAGCAATTACGTAAGGCTACTTCTCTTGCCTTAGAACTTAGGATTAAGCCTGATCCTACTCACCTTTATTAAGATGATCTTCCTCCTCCACCATATCACTAGAAGGAGCTCTAGCACCACCCACACGGGAAGCAGTTTACAGCTGCTGCCTATACTGAGTTTGGTAACTGCTAGAATAAAGGCACCTTCGCAAAACTAGATATCACAGTCTTATACATTAATAACGCTGTACCTTTGATGTGGGTTTTTACCTACAAGTTTAATAAGGATGGCTATCTACTTAAATACAAGGCTCGCCTTGTAGTGCACGGGGACCTGCAGGAGCAGTACGGCGATACCTACGCAGCCACTCTAGCAGCACGGCTTTTCTGAGCGCTTATGGCCCTTGCCTGTGCCTTCAACCTCAAGGCCATGCAATATAATGTGCCAAACGCCTTCCTCAACGCTCTGCTAGATCGTACTCTATATGTAAGAACTCTAGATAGATTTTAGCACAAATACAGTCAAACACTGCAACTTCTACGTGCTCTCTATGGCCTCAAGGAAGCTCCTCGCCTGTGGGCAATCTACTTCTAGGAATTGCTTCAAAAGCTAGGCTTACACCCTGTTCAGGGCTTTCTATGCCTGTGGATAAATAATAGGGTTATTCTCTTCTTCTATGTGGACAATATCATCATCCT